TAACTACTAATTAATAAAAAAAACATGTATAATATTTTATCATCATCACAATGTTTGATAATTTTGTAGGCTTTTTAAAGATTAATATTTTAAAGTCCGACAATTAGCTTATGCTCTCTCTATAAGTTAAAACATTAAAGTAAACAAGTAAAGTAAAAAAATTAGAAGCACAAGTGTGGAGCTAGCATAAATGTTGAATGAAGCAAAAGAATGTTGAATAAAAGGGAAGAAAAAAACTAGAGAAGAATCAATTTTTTCAATCTAAATTATGCCTAAACATATCAGATCTGATAATATCTGATTCGATCCACACAGGTCCTGTTCATTCAAATGGTATCTGATCCAATATCAATTTTGCTCATACAAGTATGGTTGATTAGTTCACTTAATCAAGGGTCCCAATAATAACTAATAACATGAATGTAATAGGTTTGATCCCCATTTCTCATCCTGGCCAATTTTTTCCTATTTAGTTTTCATTGACAAATAAAATGTGAATGTTTTGTTACTGTCATTGAAAAGTAAAGTAGGAGTTAATTGTATAACATTTTTGTAAAAACTTCATGTTATCATTAAAGATTTGTTTTGTTCATCAACATTTAGATTGATGATTCTTTCAAGTAGCTGATTGAGATGTAAATGAATATAATTACTTGTATACATTTATGTAATACAAAAGTGTTTAGTTAGGTATCACACAGCAATAGCATCTCTTCATCCTTCATTTTTTCTGGTGTCATCATGTTATATTTACATTTAAAAACAATGACCATGCATATTTCTACTTATTGATGTATATGTTTCAGTCGAATGACACATCTTCTTTTGTAAAAAAAATGAATGACACCTATGATGATGTGTCTTGTGATGATGACAGTACCAGTGACAGCGGTAGAGGAGGAAGTGACTTGGAAGTCAACAAAGAAAAAGGTATGCTTTTAGCTTATCAAACAGGATAAAGATAATCCTTTGTTATTTAAATGATCATTATTTATAATGTAATTTATTTTAACTTTTTAAAATTTTTTTCAAAAATACTTTCAGCTCGAGCTTTAGCTGCAACTTCAATATCTGTGAAAAGTGGCATTTCCAGCAGATTGTCTCCCTTGCCTCAAGAAAAAGAAAAGACTTTTAGCACATTCCGTGGGGAATCACCCAATTCTTTCAGATTTGATTCAGACTCAGACACTCTGACTCGAAACAGTCAAAGACCCATGTTTTCTATCCCTTCACGAGCAGAGAGCAGTAGCCAGGAGCAGGATCAGATTGTAGCAGGAAGGTATGGTGCCAGAGATTTCAGTGGCAGCTTTCCACGCAATCGTTCTCTGTTTTCAACACAGCCTTACAGCACTGGCATACAGAATGGCTTTGCCAGTTTAGCAGAAAGTACCAGACAACCTCAGCGCATTACTCCACTTTCTTTCATGTCTCCTCCTGCTACCTGCCATCAGTATGATACAGAGACTGACCAGAGTGACAGTGGGTCAAACTCCAACTCCTTATCAAGGCGCAATCATGTTCCAAGACTCCCTCCGTACCAAGGGATAGAGTTCACCCATCATGCATATGGCAACAGAAGCAGTATTGTTGGTTACAGCAATGCCTTATATGGTGGGGGACTTCAACAAGAGTGTGGACAAACTAGATTGCCTAATGGCAGTACATTTAACAACTACCAAAATGCTAATGAATCTAGTTACAATTATAGTGATGCTTATCCCAGTGATTATGCTGGACAAGACCCTTCTGTGACCAGTGGATATAATAATGTTGTTAGTGAACTTCAGTTGTCACGTCCAGTGAGTATGGATGGGGAATTTGAACTTCCCCCGTATCCTGAAGAAAATGAAAATGATGAGGAACCTGATGAAATTGTTGACAACTTTGAAATATTTCCAGGATATTCAAGAATTACACCCAACAGAGATGAAGATCAAACTGCCTTATTTAAATCTAAATATGAATCCAGTGCATAATAAATCTCTGCATTTATCATTTGTATTTTGGCTGTGCAATTAATAATTAATGAAATAGTTTATGCATTAATTAATTACAGTGAAGTTTTCACCATTCCTTTGTTTTTTCAGGGCCTGTCTTAGATAATTGGAGGCCCTAGGCAAATTGGCCCCAAAGGAAATAGAAAAATAAAAAAATAAACAGTGAAAAAATTAACTTAGGCAATTTATTTAAAACCTAGTGTACTCAAACAATAACATTGGGCAAAAATTTACTATTTCTTTTTAAAAAACTGTTTTGAGTTCTGTGGGAGATTTCTAACCAATCAACTATGCTTAAGGCCAGCCCTAGTTTTGTTCTAAAATATAATCAAGCAATGAAAAATGTCTTCTTTTTAAATACAAAAATATATATTTTAATGTAAAGCAGAAAAGTTTGCCAATTTATTTTTAAGAAACACCTATGCAATTTAATTTGAAGACGTTAACTAATTACAACAATAAGTACATTATTAGCTTTTGTAATTTTAGGTTATTTTAGCTAGTTCTTTCATTTTAAATAATTATGTAAACTTCTAGAAATCTAAAACAATATAGTTGTTTTCTTGTCTGAATGATATTGTTTTATAAGTATTTGTTATGAAAAGAGTTTTTTTTTTAAATACTGTTTTTTTTAACACATATCAACATCAATTATGTTTGAATCATGCTGTTAAATTTAGTAACATCTTTGTTTATGTTAAGAGACCAGTTAAATTTGTTATAAAGTAGCACAAAATTATATCTCTTCTAATGACAGCTAACAATTGTAGAGCTAATAAATTCCTGGGACCAACTGTTTTATTTACATATCATTGTTTTCTTATAATTGCTGTTGTTTTTTTGTTATTTTGAAGGTAATTTGAATAATATGATTTTATAGAACTGTTATAATAACATCAAGGGTCCAGTCCTTTTATTTGGGTAATGATACACTTTAAAAATGTTTCAAATATAAGGTCTCTTTCAAGACATACTAACATTTTTGAAATTCTTAATTACTGTGAGCAAATCTGCCACCAGGGGGGGGGGGGGGGAACAAATAGGACTCTAGTTGAGGCTCCAATATGCTTTTTTATGCCACTTGTATACTGAAGGTTTTGGGCATGTGGGGGGAGGCAGAGGGGAACACATGTACACAGTTATCTGGAGCCCAAATATTACTGTTGGCGGTTTTGCTTAAGTTTTAAAATAAGACCTTACTGTGCTAAATCTTATAATATGCTTGAAACCATACATGAAAAATGTATTTTACTTCTATATTATTCACATCTGAATTATTGTATGAAAATTATTTTTATGTAAAGAAAATTCTTCTTAACTAATGCTCACTGAAAATCAACATCAAACAGAAAGCCATAGTTTTCAGTATTCATCTTATGTAGAATCAGCATCAAACAGAAAATTTTTATTTTCAGTATTTGTGCTATGTAGATAATATTTATAATTAAAAATTGTTATAGTGTAGGTTGGTTTTTGCTTCAATCTTATGACTAGAAATTGCATCTAATATATTTTACAGCCTGTGTCAATCAGATAAAAGAAATGACAATAAGTGTTTGATTAATTATATTATCTCTGGATATATCTATCTTGTATAAAATGTACTTGCATCCTTATTTGCTCTCTCATTCTAGTCATGTTTTAGTGTGTCTATTGTTGATAACACATTGGTGTACAGTTAAACCAGATATCTTGCATTTATACTTGTGATGTAAACATGTGTACATATAATCTAGACTAACTTGTACTCTCTCTCTCCTCCACTGTACAACTGAGTGAATTGTTGTTTTGGTTGTTTGAAAATATTTAAAAATTACTATCTTGCTTGCTTTTACGGCTGTGGTGAACCAAATTTTCTTATTTCTGCTTTCTTTCAAAAGATTCCCAACTGAAGTAGAACAACAACTCTGCTTATGCTATTGTTTTATAAAGAAATAAGTGTTAATTCAATAATTATTTTAATTTTGTTTCAATACATTTGAAATTATATTTTAAGAAATGGACACTTCTTTTTAATAAAAAAAAGTACCCATAAAAGTTTGTGTCTTGTTAAAAAAATTTTTTAAAAAGTTTTTCCGTCATTAATAGAAAATATTCAAATCGTTTCAGAGCCATTTCTAAGTTATTAAAAGTTCTCTTTTTTTATGGTATTTTTAATAGAAAGCTCCTGTCTATGTGGTCATAGATAGAGTATGCACCCTGGACTGTTAGGTTTGAACTTTGTGCTATGTGGGGCCTCTCATCCTGTGGGAGGTTTGAGCTAGGATTCATTAATCTTCGATTCTGAGGGAAAATAAATTCAAAACATAATAAAACATGAGAATTAAACCAAGATTTTAAAGATTAACAGTTTTTTACTGGTGTAGATTTTTTTTATTACAGGAAATAATCTTTATTTATTTTCATGCCATATAAGTCAAATTGTTTACAGGGCTATATATATTTATGGAAGACTTCAAAATTGCTTCTTATTAATTGAGCAGAAATAAAATAAATGCTTGTACAGTCCTTTTTGACTTGCTAGACATGTATGAATATATCTTGTCACTCTAGAATATTACAAAATGAATCTGAGACTGAGACTTGAAAAAAAAAAAATCAAACTTGTTGTAAAGCTTGTTATTATTTTTACTACTAAAATCCTGCCTTATAAGTTCAATTTTTTGGAATGATGACTGGATTTGAGGCCTAAGTAGTAATCTACTGACTAAGACATCACAAAATATTGACTATACATAATTTTTAAGGCTGTTTGAACTTAATTGGTTGAGTATGGGAAGTGTGATTTTTAAAAAAATATCACATTTAATTTCAGTAACAGAGCTTAGTAAAGAGCTTGTTTAAGTAAAAATGTGAGCATAAATATGGCAACTTCCAAAAACTAAATTTAAGATTAAGAATAAAAAATGAATTTTTTTTTTCTGTTAATACAAATGTTTGATCTCACTTCCTGGTTGAGTGTTATGCTAATTTGCCATCTCATGAGACCTTACTATATGTTTGGGCTAGGATGTAATAATCTTCTATTCTAAAGGGACCGAGACCCTACTAGATGTTTGGGCTAGGATGTAATAATCTTCTATTCTAAAGGGACCGAGACCCTACTAGATGTTTGGGCTAGGATGTAATAATCTTCTATGTTAAAGGAACGTCCAAAATATGTAAAACAAATAAAATAATCAATTATAAAAAATCCTTTTGCATTTATCAGTTAGATCTATATTTTCCTACTGTGCTACAATGTACATTATAATTTGGTCTTTTTTGTCATCACTTTTAATTAAAATTGTGTATGTAGTGATAAAACTCTTTAAGGTAAATATTTTAACTATAATTTAGCTTTACATTATATTTCAGTTTTATGAAGTGATATTTAGAATTTTATGACTATTTAATTTGTATGTTTGTAAGGTTTCTTGTTTTGTCTTCACCATTACCAGCTTTAAGCTTTCTTTTTGTTATTGGCATTCAAAAGAATATGTTTTATTGTATTAATTTTATTCTCATCAGCATAGTATCTGTAAAAAAGTGTTTGTTAAATGCTCTTCAAACCCTGGATCAGTGGTTACATATATTATGCAAATTAATTATATATGACCATAACATCTTAGTATTGTGTAGACCAGGAATGAAAGGATAGTAGCTATTCAGTTAAGCATCTTGCTGATTTGTTACTCTTGACTATTGGCTTATATTTGTGTGGGTTCTGTCAGGATCCCAGCTGTCAACATAATGTCTTGCCAGTCTTTTGTTTTAATAGATTTTTCAGGTAGAAGGTTTCTTTGTTTGTTTTGTTTTCTTTTTAGTATACTGGTCATATGACACTCATGTAGACTTATAGACCAGGTACAGGTCACTTTGATCTCATGCCTCATTCTTTTCTTGGTGTCATTGAGAACAAAGTTGACAGAGCTTGAACTATTGTGTTGAATAATTCTGATGTTAATAAGCAAACATGTGTATACCTTTTATTTAACAAAATATTTGATTACTTATAAAAGTGTTTTTTTTTAATGAGAATCATGCTTCATTTATGAATTAAGGATGCCATTGGATAAAAAGAAAAAGGGACATAACAATGTTTTATTCTTGTACAAACTCTTGTTAATGTCATTGTTTCATGAGCTTGGGAGACTTCAGCTTTAATTCATTGAATAAGTTTTTTGCATTGTATTTTTGTATGTAATGAAAATTTCATATTTTTGTAATGCTTGAAAAAAATATCTCCACTTAACTCATGCTATTATAATTGATTTCACAGAGTTTTTTTGTTTTTTTTATATAGCTAAATCTATTTCATTCTATTAATATGTGAATCTTAAATGCCAAAGATAGGATATAGCATCTCCTCCATTCACTTAAGCTTAGCCCATTGAATCTATGAAATATTATTCAGAAATAACTTTATTCCGACAGTTGTTTGGATTACATTGTGAACTTTGTATGATCTATTGCATCTCAACATTCAGGATATATAATTTAGAGATGTCCCATACACTCAATTATAGTGCATTGTAATTAGAAAATTTTATTTCTGAAACATCCCTAGAACAGCATTCAGTCATCACGTATGTTAAGTCTTTAAAAAGGAACAAGTCTTCTTCTTTATTTAAAAAATTTTGTCCAATTAAACTTAATATAAGCCTGGAAATAATAGTCATAACCATTTTTTAAAAAAGATTATCTCCCTTAACATTGTGCTATGATGTCTAATTTCTGACATTTCAATTACAAGTATTTTGAAAGTTATAGGTTAAAATTAGGAGTGATACTAAAGCTTGGCTTAAAATTCATTAAAAAAAAAAAGTAAAGTGAGATAAGTTCCAGAAAGTAAACTAAAAGAAAGCTGAAGAAATCTTTTCAGGCTATTTCAGAATCATTGACTTGATTTAATTGAGGATTTCTGCCATATGGGCCTTGCATTGAGTATACTTTACTTGTTCAGGGAGCTAGAGATCTATAAACTGGCAGATAAAATTACAGACAATTAAAGAAACTGTTTAATAACTGAAAACACAAAAAGCTTATAATACTTTTAAGGATTATGTGGGAATCTTTTTGTTCATTTACTTGAATGCATATCTAATTTAAATATCACAAGAAGTTTAGTTTTATTTTGTTTTATTTTATGGAGAAAAAAATGCAATTTTTTAAATAGAGAATTTCCTATTTCCCAGATCATCACATAAGTATAATGTGATTCCTGAAACACTCCATCAAATAGAATTGCTGAGCTAATTAAACCTAATTGATGGAATGAGAGAATCTTTCACGTCCCTTCATTTATTGTTCTCTTATGAAAAGAAGGGCATTAAAAAACATTTTTGTTCAAATAGTAAAGTAAGGTATCAAGTTTTACCTAACAAAATCATCAATAGTTATTTCTATCAGTCACAGAGACACTGCAACATAATTTAATTATTGAACATAAATTATTTAGCATAAATTAACTAATCAAAAATCTGCCCAACTTTACATGGCGCCAAGTTTGAACTCCAGGGCACTTGAAGAACAAGCTCAGACACAGGCTGCCAGTTTGAATGCATGACCTAGGACAGAGACCAGAGAAGTGTAGAAAATAGCAAACCTATATGCTGCTGATTCAAATAAAAATAAGTTCCTAAGAAATAATTGCTTTTCGATCTGACTTTTGTCCTGAAATATCCCTATTTCTCAATAGCAAAGAGAAATATATCTGAACAAATAAAGACTAAAAGTATTCTTGCACTATTTCGAGTGGATCATGGAAGTAATATACTAGAGGCCATTAATTTAAATAGCATGAGTAATACTTGTAAGTACTAGAGGTCATTAATTTGAATACCAAGGTTATATATGTCAATAACTAGAGGTCCTCAAACTCAAACTTTTTTTTACATGTATTTTCTCTGTCTGGCCAAAACTTTGTAGGTACATTATTTTTCTGGCACCCAATCTCGGATCAAACCGTAATTTTGCACAGTTATTTCTTTTATTTCAAATAGATGCTATCTTATTCAATTTTTCGAAGGCTTTTGACAAAGTTCACCACCATAGTTTGCTTAAAAATTAAAATATTTTGGCATTGATGGTCCATTGCATCAGTGGAATAAAGATTTTCTAATAGGGAGAGGACAAACTGTAATAATAAATGGCTCAAAAAAATAAATGCTGGTTTAATAATAGACTAAAGAAGCTTTGTAAACAGAAGGAAAACCTATATAGAAAAATTATAGAAATAAGGCAGAAAGAGTTTACAAAAAGTATATAAAAATTAAACACCTAACCCAAAAAGTAAGCAGACAGCTGCAGAGTGAATACATAAACAATGTAATATCTAAAGATAACAACAAAAACCTATGGTCATACATTAAGTCTAAGAAAATGGAAACAACAGCCATAGCGCCATTAAAAGATGAACATAACATAATACATAATGATAATGAAACTAAAGCAAACATCCTAAACAAGTACTTTGCAACATCATTCTCAGCCCCAGGAGACAAAGACATATTACTGAATTTGAACCAAGTAGACAACATAGAAGATATAGTAGTACAAGAAAATGGAATCCAATAAACTAATAGCCAACACAAAACCAAATAAAGCGTCTAGACCTGATGGTATTCCAGCTAGATTACTCAAAGAACTAAGCAATGAGCTAGCCCCAGTGTTCAAAGAAGCTAATGTCACCCCCCTATTTAAAAAAGGAGAAAAATCTGACCCAGGAAACCAGTATCACTTACCAGCATCACATGTAAAATCCTAGAACACATAATATGTAGCAACATCATAAACCACTTAGACAAACATAATGTCCTCACACCATACCAACATGGCTTTAGGAAATATAGATCATGTGAAACACAACTACTAGGACTAATTGGATGACTTTTCTAAAGGTTTAGATAAAAATGAACAAATAGATGCTATCTTACTAGATTTTTCCAAGGCTTTTGACAAAGTTCACCACCATAGTTTGCTTAAAAAATTAAAATGTTTCGGCATTAATGGTCCACTGCATCAGTGGATTAAAGATTTTCTGATAGGGAGAGAACAAACTGTAATAATAAATGGCTCTAAATCAACACCGATTACAATAAATTCAGGTGTACCTCAAGGAACATTCTTAGGTCCACTACTTTTTCTTAATTTACATAAAGGATTTACCAAATTGCATTACCTCAGGAACAAAAGTCAGATTATTTGCAGACGATTGCATAATATACAGAACAATAAAAACAACACAAGACACAGATATTTTACAAAGAGAATTAGATGAATTACAGAAATGGGACTCAAATTGGAGCATGTCTTTTCACCCAGAAAAATGCCAGTTATTAAGAGTCACAAAAAAAAACTAAAACAAATAATTTCCACTTATTTTATTAATGGCAAACCAGTAACACAGAATAAAAACGCAAAATACCTAGGTGTTATAATAAATTTAGAATTGTCATGGAATCCCCATATTGATGAAACTATCAAAAAATGAAGCAAAGCATTAGGGAAGAACATATAACTAAAATGTTATTTAACCTTGGTTAGGCCAATAATAGAATATGCATCCTCTGTTTGAGATTCCCCAACTCAAGAAAACATTAAGAAACTGGAACAGACATAAAATAGAGCAGTGAGATTCATAACAAACGAATATTCACATTTGACTATAGGAACACCTTTAGTAAAATCACTAAATTTAGAAAACCTTCAGGATAGAAGACTCAAAATAAAGTAGCAATTATACATAAGACACTGGACCATAATCTTCAAATACAAAAACAAAATCTAATAAAATGCTCAGAAAGACACAAAGGTAAAAGCATATATCTCGTTCCATATGCTAGGACAAATTTGTACAAATGCTCCTTCTTCCCTAGTGCTATTAGGGCATGGAATGGGTTGCCCGAGGCAGCCAGGAAAACCATTGACTTGGCAGAATTTACGCGTAGGACGTAATCATCTTCTTTTTTGAAGTAACTTCTGTATTAAATAAGAAGATAAGATACCTGACAACACAAGAATCAATTTAAAAAAGGAACCAATTAGGCTAATTTATTATCTATTGGTGATAAATTATTTTGTGTGGTTGCCTGATCGTACGGTGTTCTCGCTGGACTGTCATTCGGACTTCTTTATCGTCCCGGGTTTATACCGCTGCCATCTCCCGTTGTCCTGCGGGAGGTTTGGAATAGGAAGCAAATTATCTTCAATTCTGAAGAAATATGTAAAACAAAACAAACAAACGACTCCATGAAGAACCAAGTCTAGGGTACAAATGACGTCTTCCGAAAGAATGAACGGTCGGAATGTAACTAAGATTAACTTTACTCTTATATATATATATATATATATATATATATATATATATATACAGAGAGATAGAGAAAGAGAGAGAAAGAGAGAGAGATGCCCCCCCCCGATAAAAATTATGGCTACGATAACAAAACCTGGCTACGCCCATGATTCCAGGACCTTACTGTTTTCCTATAACCAGTTGGAGAGAATCGTTCTCTTGTAGCACTTCTCCTTAAGAACATTGAACACTCGCCATTGTAGATTGGGTCAACTCTCTGGGTGTTTTCTTTCATGTCTCCAAACTAGACTTCAATAGTTTGTATTATTGGTTGGGGTATGGAAGTAGTACGTCTGTTCTGACGCAATGTCCTTATTTGAGCAGTTCAATCTGTAACTTAACCACAGACTCAACTTTCTAGAACAATAAAAATATCACTTGATTTGACGTCATAACAATTTGCGCTCCTTAACAAACTTTTGAATGAATATTGTTTACATACACTCTAAATCCAAATCCAAACAAAGCTCACAGCTTTAGTGCACATTTTACAAATGTAGAGCTAGCCTATTAACTATTATGTGCAAGTTTTGAAGTAAAGTGATCAGTCTTGACTGGAAAAATGGATTCTGTTTTATCGCCCAAGCCCATTGCTTCCGAAGTAAGTGAATGATCTTTTATTGTAGGCTGTAGACAACATTTAGATTAGGCTCTAACCTAAAAATTAGAATCTAGATCTTTGAGTTTCAACATAGGATAGGTCTAGATCAGGGGCGGCAAGCTTTTGAGTCGGAAGAGCCAAAAATTACAATTTACAAAATCTCAACGTTTTTAAAGAGCCACAAGATTTTTTAACAGTAAATAGTACTCGCATAAATAAAGTTTTTTTTAATTAAAATTTATTCATAAGAAAAAAAAATCAATTTATCTTTATATAAATAGCGTTTATATATGTATATATGGAATTATTAGATAAATACTTATTATTTAAGTATAAAATTTAAACAATTAAACATTTACATACAACACAATGTTTTACTACAATAACAAACAATTGAGCAAACAAATTCAGTGGTAACTATGGCTTTGCGTGGTTTTAGAAAGTTTGGATAAATTTGGCTCAGAGTTTTGGCTAACAGAATTTTCAGTTGTCAGTAAACTTCTTACTTTACTTTTGTTATATTCATGCAAGAGAACTCTTGCTCTTACGAATATGCTGATTCGATGATGGCCAGCCTTCCAGATGCCAACTTTTTCACCTGAATGTAGCAATCTGAAAGACTATTCCATGCGTCAAATATAAGTGCCTAATCTCGCGGCATTTATTTGAAGCTGTCCACTTTTGTTGCGTTACATACATTTCTGGAGCTCCAACTCTGCCAACCT